CCCATTTAGAGCAACCCACTTCGGAACAAGGACACTTTGTGAGAAGCCTGTTGATAGGGGCTTGAGGTACGCCCTGGTCCCTGAAGGGAAACCAACTCGTTTTGGTTTCCTATCCTTCTTGGCTATTTGGTTATTAGATCTGTGGACTTCAGGTTTTTGGTTGAACCAGGTGGGATTGTCCTTTGGACCCTCAAAACTTTCTGCAGACCACAACCAAGTGGCTGCCTTTTGGTTTCCCAGTCAACACCATAAACAAAGAACGGATCTACCCTCCCACCAACTAACAGGAAGTGCAAAACGGCCCTTTCCAAGAGGAATCCAAGAGGAAAGTGGTCTTTCCACAGGGGTCTGTGCACTTCCATGTTAGCTGGTGGGAGGGTGCACATGTTGTTGGGCGGAGGGGTCAACAGCGAGGAAGTATTTTACCTGATCTCACCGAGGACAAGGGCCGGAGCCTTGCCAAGCTCATGGAGGTGGACTCCACAGAGCAGCGCTTCGGTTGGAGGTGAACTCACCCCAGGTGGGTGCGCGATTTTCGTTTGAGCTAGGTCCCCCAGTATTGCCCTTTTACCCTTTTTTTGGGGAGGGTTCCCCTACTAAAATAGACTACAGAAAGAAAAAAAAGGTACCCTTATTCTATCCTCTCTACTGGAGAACCTAGTGAGGGTACCCTGTTTACCCTGATTTGAAGGGCAAGCACGAGCAAAACAGCCTTGATGGTTCATTTCTCCTAAGAGTGATGGATGACGGATAATTATCAACTTTTCCCGACCGGCTATTTGGCAGCAAGAGAAAGGTCTGTATGTTGCTTGTGTTTGCTTGTTTGTGCATTGCAATGGCCGCTCGCACTGTTTCACATTCTTCAAACGTTGAGGGGTCGATCTTCAACAATAACTTTGTGTTTTGTGTTTTTCAGGTCCCGACCAACAGAAGGTCGTTGTGTTTGTTGCATGATTCCCATGCGCAACCATCAAACGGTGAACCTTCTGTGGATAGCCGTGGGGTCAGAAGTCCAAAAACCCTCTTTTCTGCATTTTCCAGTTGAGCAGCACCCAATCGTGAACGGGCTTTATGGGGTCGACCCTCAAAAGCTCGGTGTTTTGTTGCATTCTCGAAACCCACTACGGATTGAGGGGTTGACCCTCAAAAACCCAGTGTGGCTTTGCATTTGTTAGTTTGCTAAGCAGCTTGCCGGCTGCCCAGCACCGGGAGTTATTCACTGTTGGCGGATCCGAAAACGGGCAGCCCAGAATCCATGCCATCGAGCCGATGTCGAGGCTCGCCTTCGAGTCCGTGGAGTCGGAGTTGCGCTGCGTCCTCGCCCGCGCGGCGGCGGCCGCCAAGCAGCGCCAGACCGCGCCCAAGGCGGCGGCCCTCGCGGCGTACGCCCAGACGGCGCGCCTCGGATGCGGACGCGGGGGCTTCCAGCTTACGGACTGAGAATACCCACCTGTTGACGGTAGGAGGCTATCACCTGACCAAACATGGCTCAATTGTCCATGGAACGTGTTTGACAAACAGGGGGGAAAGCAAGTCGTCATGTTTGGTTTGACCGTTACACTGGGATGTTTGGGGGAGTATGTGCGTTTTGCCGCCAACCCGTAGCAAGCAAAACCCTTTTGCCGCATAGAATTGTGTTTCCTGTGAGATTGAGGCACCTCGAGCAAAAATTGGGCCACTGGCAGAAAGCATTCAAAATTGACAGAAGAGCATCAGCACTGGGTCCCTCAAAAGGAGATTGCTCTGAACATAGGCGGTTGTTCGCGTAGCCTCAGTGCGGCCTCAGTCGTCGAACGCGAACCGCGATGACATAACCGTTCACTCTATTTAAATTTAGTTGTTGTATTTGTTTAGTCATGCCAACCCAACATGTCATTGCCTGTCATGTCCAGCTCGTTTAAGGCAGTGAGAGTTTGAGGAGGTTCCCGATTGTCCCAGTTGGATCTGGGTCCTTCTTCCCTTCTCGCAGATGTGGCTTTCAGGGCACACCCATCTGACATGAGCTTGATGAGGTTTGCTATGACAAACGGCTGTGATTGCTATGGCTTTAAGTAAGACCCATCCAGATTGATTGCTTTCAAGTGACCCCAAATGAGTGATGCACCACTATTTCACTTTGAGAAAGAAAAGGGGCCCACCTCCAGTGCATGACGCTGATGTAATCTGTTCCCCGCAGCAACAATACTTACCCCTCATTCATAATTGGTGCCTGTGGAGAACAAAGTAATTGAGTGCGGACAAATTGTTTTGTGCTAGCCAGTGCTCGAACACGAGGCTGCGTCCAAAGCAGCAGTTTGTCACCTCTCGCGACCTGGTGCCCGGACTGAGTTGATTCTCTATCGGTACTGCGCAAGTAAAGAAAAGAAACATCCTTGAGTAAGCGTAGCATTCAACCTGTAGTTCCCGATTGTTCCAGGGACCCGTGTTTGCAGAAATCGCCCAAAACAGGGCAGAATATAGGATCAACCTTGCAACATCCCATTGCCTTAAGAGGCCAATCCTATCCCCAAAAAAAAATTGGTCAGCATGTCCGATTTGCTACTTGAAGTAATCTCTTCTGCTTGGTTATTTGAAATTTGCAAGGAAAACCACGTGGAATAACAGCACATGGGAGAGGTTGACCAGATACATAGCGAGCCCCGCGAAAAATCCTCAAGGAGCCTTAGCCCAAGATGGCCTGAGGAATTTGGTGCTGGTGCGTTCGGCCAAGTACATCGCGCTGAGCCAGGCGGGATACTGGATACCGTATTTCGCAGACCGGGCCTTTTTGACACCCTTCTCTTGCCTGTTGAGTTGGCGATGCTTGCTTTTGGCAGACAGCCTGATTGGGAAGAAACAAGCTGCCTCCAGGTGTATTTATTTGATCTTACTTCAAAACCCAAGCCTGAAACCTGTTCGAGGAAAGCCTGAAAGGCAAGTGCAAACTGTTACCCTTCCTCATGAAACATAGAACCCGGGAGGTACCTGGGAGATCGATTTCTTGCAGGGACCCCGTGCCGGGTGTGATGTGGGAGTGGGACAGAAATTCCAGAGACTCCCTCCAATCATACTGTGGATGAGCGAAATCCTGCACTACCTAAAGAACCCTGGAATGATTCGATTCCCCTGCCAATACCGACAATCGTGATGGTTTCACATGATTCCAAAGTGATGCGAAATGGATTTCGCCCATCCATACCTCCCTTACAAAACACCAAAACACCAGCCGTGAATTCGGCATATGGAGTTACGGGCAGGACCTCCTTGCCCCCCCCCCCCCACCTATGAGTCAAACTCATAGTTCTTGCAAGTTCGAGGTACTGGTTGATGTCATTTGCTGATTAAGTCTTCCGCTGGTGGGAAACCAAAAACAGGACCCGATTCGGTGTGGGATTTCCTCCGGGTTAGGAGTTTCGCCTGCTTCTGTTAGGGCTTCCCTCCTTTTTTTCAGGAATGCTCCTGGTTGCGTATCCGATGTGTTTGGGTGTGTCTCCTTTGTGTTCTGTGTTTTTCAACATGGTTCTTTACTTTCTTGTCGAGGACTCTGTTTTGTCGACCCCTGACCTGCTTTTTGGACCCATAAGGCAAAAGGTGAAGCACCAAATTGTCAATCGCGCAATTTTGGGTAAACAAAAACTGGGTCCACTCCGTGTGTCCCCTGCCTTTTCCGAGTGTTTCTTCTTGGCAACCTGGTCGGTTCATCCTCGATGTCCAGGTTTGCGGGCGAGCTCTGACCTCCCCCCCCACAACTCCACCCATTCATCCACCCCTCCCAACTCCAAGTCCACTCCAACTCTACTTTGCATTTTGCCAAGGGATGTCAGGACCTCAACTTTTTGCCAACTTTTCCGGTTTTTTTCTGATTGAAACCACCAAGAGTTAAAAAACAACTTTCAGCCGGGGAGCGGAAAGCCAGCGAGTAAAAAATAACTCCAGGTGGCCCTGGGTCAAAACCTATGCCGATCCCATTTTGGGGCGGATGAAACACCCTGCCACCTTTGATGTTCACCAAGCGTACAGGGTTTCGACCCACAGCCATATGACAAGGAGCCAGCTAGTTGGTCCCTTTTTGGGGAACTAAAGCTACGCTCTCAAGCAGGGGCGCCACCCAGCTTAGATGTTGTAAGGGGTTTTGACAACCACAGCCAGGTGGTTCCAAATTTAGGGCGTTGAGCTACATCAAACCTCCAGTGCAACATCAAACCTCCAAAATTTAGCCCACAAATTTAGCGAAACCACTAAAAGAGAAAAAAAAGGCTTCGCAAAAAGCAACGAGTCCAGGTCTCCCCATGTTCCTGGGTTTCCTCGGTTTCCGAGCCCAGCGCCCGCTGTTACTCGAGAGGCGGGGGCCGAGGGCGTGGCATTGGCCGGGCGGCTGCTGGGCGGCGTGGGCGCCGGCCTGGCGGTGGGGGTGGCGGTGCACGGATGGTCCACCCTGAAGCCTATGCAGCGGCTCGGCCGGGTTTTTGAACGCGACTTTTGGTGGAGGGGATCCTCTCAACATGGCGCCAATCAGACGAAGTGGTCCAAAACTTGCTGCTTCTAATTGCTTAAGATTGTTTGTTTGTTTATGTTCCCACTTCTTTTTAGGGAGTCCATCACTGCTGGATTTTGTTTTTTCTTCCAGCGGGCTTAAGCAAATGGAAGTTTGTGGAGGGGATCCTCTTAAAATGTCGCCAATCAGACGAAGTGGTCGAAAACGCAAGGAGGAGAAACCAGTTGGGCGCAGGGAACAAGTCAGGTGTCACTCTTGGTGGTCATCCACTTTACTTAGATTTGTTTCAACAAGTTGGGTGCAGAGAAAAAGTCAGGTGTCACCATCCACTTTACTTAGAATTGTTTCAACCAGTTGGGTGCAGGGAGAAAGAAAGTCGGGTCCCACTCTCGGTGGTCGACCACCAAGAGTGAGAAATTTGGTGACACCTCACGTTTTCCTGCACCCAACTGGTTGAAGCAAATCCAAGTAAAGTGGATAACCACCAAGAGTTGGTGACTGACTTTTCCCTGCACCCAACTGGCTGAAACAAATCTAAGTAAATTGTACGACCGCCAACAGTATAGTGACACCTGACTTTATTCGTGCACCCAACCAAAATTAAGTGAAGTGGATATCCACTTTACTTCGATTTGTTTCACTGTCCCAAAGGAGCCAAAAGGCACTACGGAGAACTCGCAACGGCACATTGGAAGCGAAAAACGATCCAGAGAGAAGTCGAACCTTCATGACTTGTGCTTGTCTGCAGCAGCGCAGCAAGACAAAGCCACGCCCATTGGCCAACTGGATCTGCTGGCGAAGTAACTTGTTTTTGTGTTTCCCTATCCAACGTGTCGTTCGGGTTGTTGTCTTTGTGTTCCATGGGAAGCCCTTGTAGGATCTGCATCCAATTGCAAGTTTGGTTCCCCAATCTGGAGGTGTGTCTGACAAGTAATTGCTTCCGTTTTGGTTTGCCTTCAAAGCGGATTCTTATGCGTGCTAATTTGGTCAACAGACCCATCTACTGTAGGCGTTCTCGGCAACCAGATTCCTATTCAGGGAATCAAGGTTAATCTTCGGAGTTTTGACCATATGGCGCACGTGGATATGTCTCCAAATTCTTGACCTCTCCAGTTCGGTTTCCTGGATATCCCGCTAGAACCGAGAGAACCTCTGGGCTGGGGCTCGGGCCGTCGGGTAAGGAAGCTGGTGAAGGAGAAGATCGACGAGATCCAGAGGTCCATGGAGTATCTGGTGGCTTGGACTGTCAAACTCAGGGGCTAACTAGATGAACCCAGTTAACTCAATGAACATGGGATCAAATTAAGGGTTTTCCACCCAAGTGGAAGATAGGTGGCAGGGGCTGTGGGGCCCAAGCTGGTTTCACTATCCCCTTAGCAGAAATGAAGATAAGTGGAATGAGGCTGTGGGGGACTCAAAACCAAAAGGCACAATGAGATAGTAGTGTGCGTAAGTAGTACCCTCTTATATTGCCCTCCCACTAATGGAATCCACCAGAAGATCCTGCGCGGAGGTAGCGGCAAGTGGGCTTCCAGCCAGGATACTTTTTCTGGCATTTGGTTGTTGCCTTTCTTCTGCAGCGACATGTCATGTTTCCCCGGGAGGGGGGGGGTGTTGAAGGTTGTCAAAGGGCAACTGAGTGAAGAACCCGCACTTCACCTCCTCCTGAGTATCCCAGTTTGTTTCTGTGTTTCTTGTCTTTTCTGTATTTTGCTTTTCCGTCAGTGTCTTGCTTCAGCAGTTGTTTGTTAGTACAATGTGTGAGGTGTGACTGAACTTTGTTCTATCCATGGCAGCTTTGTTGAACCTAGAGATCCTTTGAAAAGGACAGCCATAAAAGGTGCGGCCGCCATTTTGTTTCTGTCAATGGTTTTGGAGTTTGCAAGTTTTGAAAAGGAATACCACCATGTTGGGGGGTCCGCTTCGAAAATGGTCCCCTGTTCTAAAAAAAAGGGGTCCGCTAAAAACAAGAGTCATACCAATTTGTTGTCTCCAGGTTTTCAAAACCAGGGTTGATGAAGGTTAGTAGGGGACAATCCCAGCCATAAGTAGTTGCGGCCGCCTTTCAATTTCCTTACCGGGTTCTGGGCCAACCATTTTAATGCAGGGTTTTGATTGTGACTCAAAAAGGAAACCACCATGTTGCGGAGTCCAATAACAACAGAGAGACGCAATTTTTGGGTTTGAAAACTACCATGTTGGGGGGTCCAGTACAATAAGAGACACCAATTGTTGTTTCCAGGTTTTGACTGAGGAAGTGAGCCACTTGCTCAAAGCCCGGGTAGAGAATGGTTAGTAGGGGACAACGCCTTTCAATTTCCTTACACGTTTCTGGGTCAACCATTCTGGTGCCGGGTGATGACTCAAGTTGAGTTTTTCGCTGCGAGGAAGGCCTGCGGAAGCAGATGTGCAGCGCCTTGGTTTGCCCCGGCTGCGGGGAGGCCTTGTCCTTCGGGCGCGAGGATTTGCGGCGCTGCAGCCGCTTCCATTGCCTTCCGGCCGAAACGGATGGGGCGTTTGGGGGGTGGGGGGGGGGTGTTGGACTGTTCCGGACAGTGCAACAAGCCCTTTGTAAGACTATTGAATAGAGAGTAGAATGGAGCCAGTAGCTGAGCTTGGTGTAAGCTTCTGGAAATGCACGGGGAGGGGGGGGGGGGCGGCTTGGGGTCTACAGTCGGGGGATGGAAGGGTGGGGGGGGGGAGTACCCGTATGATAGAAACTTGAGGTGTCTATTTTGCAACCGCCTTGTTTTCAGGGTAGTGGTCATTGAGGGTTCCTATCCCCACGCCCTCAGTCATGTCTATGGACGGGGGCTTTTTCAACCACGGCTGCCCCCATAATTTAATCGAGAATTTATTCCACTGGCGATCCATGATTCACTTGTACAAAATTAGCTTTAGAGGACTGTGAGCCACCAGGAACAGAGATCGACCTAATCCATCAAAATCCGAACGACATCAGATGGCGCAACATGTGGAAGGGTTGCAAGAGGAACGCCTGGGGGAATGTGCACATGTTTGTTGTTGGTTTGATGAGTTCCCCACACATCCTTTTGCTGAGCAACCTCGTTGACTGGGGGGAAGTGCACAAATGCAGGGTAGCCGGGCTTGTGGAAACAATGAAAGTGTGTGTTGGGGGGGGGGTGACCAATTGAGCAGAGTTGTTTTCTTCTTCTTTTGTTTTTAGCGGTAGTAAAGGGGCAAAGGAGAGTGGACATAGAAGGCCCCGCGTAGGCATATTGCTTCACGCGCGTAGGCGCGCGTAGCCACTTCTTGACAGTCGGCTGGGGAGCTTCTCGCATAGGCCCCGCGTACGCTTGACTTGACAGGTTGCCAGTAGGCGCACGTACAAGTTTTAGCACGAAACACACACCGCGTAGGCTCGGGTAGGCTTTTCAAGGCTGACATACACCTCGCCTAGGCCATCCCGCTTCGTATTTGCGCATGGTTTAGGCGTCGGCGTAGGCTTTTGATACGTCATCAGCATGACCCTTCCAAAACAACTCTGCTCAACTGATGTCCCTTTTTCCAATGTGCGGCATGTGCAAATCTGGCAAAGTATGGACCACAAACTAAGCACAACATCTTGCGAGACAGCGGCAGAAGGGTTGTGAGATCTCATGTGAGATGCTGGGTCAGACGATGGAGAATCCTGAAACTGATTGCAGCAGCTGCTTTGCCAACACTAGTGGCATATGTTGGCAAATTACGCGAAAACATGGTGGTTGTTTTTGTTGATGGTATATATTTCCTTACGTTGGTTGAGGCCACGGCAGGCCCGCGATAGTCAAGTGGTCCTTTTCTCACGGCTGGGAGCAATGAAAGGGTTACGTGTTTTTGTTGGTCCTTAATCGGGGCATCCATGCTGAGATTTTGTGGGGAACTCTTCTTCGTGAATCCACCACTCCGGGACACGTGGACGCGAGGTGGAACCGAGCCAGCAAAATCTCCTTTGAGAAAGATGATTGATCACCTGGATGGAGGGGTTGCCCACACGGCATGCGGGGGCATGTTGGGGCTACATGTCCTTCGGGTTTCTCCCATTGTTGCTTCGGCCGTGACTTGGTTGAAAGCGCTCAGGCTTCCATGCCAGATGTGTGGAGCAGGTGGATCCGCGGGGTGGAAACATCTCTTTTTTAGGGTCCCCATCACACCGATGGACCCCAAACTCACACGGCTTGGCTTTTTTTTGATGGTAAATCTCTTCTTGCTTAGCTTGAGGCAAACAGGGCACCAAACGGTGCAGCTATTTTGAGACAAGGAACACCCAGACAGGGAAAAGGCTGGTATGTGGGCTTTGCTTTAGGATTGTGGAATGAGTAGTTAATTCTTCAAATTCAGCGCTTGGTTTTGCTGAAGCCAGGGGGAAGTAACACGGCTACAAAGATAGATGCGCAATGAGATATGAGGGCGCACTCTGTTTGCTGATACGGCCATGGACGCCCCATGCACAGAGTAACGACAACAGACGTGTACCATCTACAGCATTTGACCTTCATTGCTGCCCTTCCAGCAAGCAACTTGGAAGTGCACAGGCCTCCGTTCCAAAAGTGTCGACACACGTAGGGAAGAGTGCGTATATCCCCTTGTTGGTGGTTTTAACGAAAGGCCAAAAGGACAACCACCACTTTTGGGAGGTCCTGAAAATCAACATGTATTACGGATACATGTATGTATATATATATATACATTGGAAAAGGTAGGCTTTGGCGGGGCCTACCATATACATATAAATATATTATGTATATACAAACAATTGGTGGCCTGTATATTATTATTTATATATATATATATTTGTGAAGGTCCTGTAGAATTTCCTGGCTTCTCAGAACTCATGAACAATTGTTGTCTTCCCGGTCGGATGGCGTTGGCCGATTGTTGGATACTGGACAGTTGTGTGATTGGGTGGAACAGGCGATCGATTCATTGAAACATGTGCTTCCTTTTCCTTTCCCGACTTGTTGACCCTTGCATGCTCGTCATTTTGCCGTTGCTTTCTCTTGCTTTCCCTTCCAACTGTTGACGGGTTGTCTGGTGTTTTGTGGGACCAAAACAAGCGAAACACACAAGCAAGGACTGAACAATACACTGTTGTGTCTGGTGTTTTGTGGGCGCAACCAGTAACAAACACACTGTTGTGTCTGGTGTTTTGTGGGAGTAAAAACGTGAAAACAAAGAACAATAAAACACGTCTCTTGGTGGCTCCCAGCCATCCCCTTCAGCCTTTCAGTTTTTGAGTGTTTAGTGTTAGTTTCCATTTAACCCACTAAAAGTTAGTCACTTTTAGCGGGGGATCCGAAAACGGGCATCCCAGGCCCACGTTTTTGTTCGCATCTTTGGGAAGATGTGCAGGAGCCCAGCTGCCCGCAGTGTTTGGACCCCGTGGCGAAGGTGAAGAGCAGCGACCAGCTGAATGCGCTGCTGTGGCTCGCCGGGCTCCGCGTCTCGGCCTTCGGCCTTCGGTCTTCGGTCTTCAGACGCGGTCAGAGGGGCGGGGCGGGGGCGGGAGGGGGTATATTGGGGGCGATGTGGGGTGGCCGGAAAGCATATGTGAGATTTTAGGGTAGGTAGCCAGCCTACCAACCAACATGGAAGTGTACAAACAAACCGTTCCAGAAACAAATAGTTTTTCAGAAAGACACCTATGCACTTTCAAGTTTGTTGGTGGGAAATGTGAAGCAGAACCTGAGAATTGTGTTTGGACTACTCCAGATGGCCAAGAGAACTCTTGGAACTCGGACACCAGGAGAGTTTTCTGAAACTCAAAGCCTAAGACCCAAGAAGGTCCGTACGCAATACCAGGGTGTTCCTGAACACGTACTGAGAATGCACACATAGGCCTGAAGAACCTAAGAAGCATGCATGATAATTCGCCAAGCAAGCCTGACTGAGGCTAAAGAAGATAAACAAAAGGCTCAATGAAGCCTAAAGGATGCCAGAGTAAATCTAAAGGATGTCAACATGAAAATCAGCCTGATTACGACCCAACGGCTCCATACGGAGATGCATCCAAAAGCTTGCCCTATGCCATCATAAGATAGAACATGCATGCTTAAGGAAGTCTGAAGCCTGAAACAAATCCGAAGAAACCTGAAGAATGCCCAAAGCAGATTGAAGCATGCCCAAAGAAGCCTTTGCAATGCCAAAAGGCAGCAACAAGAGAACTGCTGAGCCCCTCTGGGAGCGTGAGTTGCCTTAGAAGAACCATGCTGACCAATCAAGGACAATGGGGTCAGTAACAGGGGAGTTGGATGAAAAGCCACAAGGAATGTGTTTGGGGCTGTCCAATCAGCAAACAGCCAGCTGACCAGTTTTTGTTTGTATGTTTTTCCGCTCCACTGTGTTTGGCATTTTGTTTAATGGTCAATTGAGCCTCAGGTTCATTGGAAACACTTCATGTGAGGGCCCCCTGCCCAATGATCCAGTTGCTTTGCTTTGCCGTGGCATGGCTTGGCGCTGAATGACCCTTATTCCAAGTGCACCGATGATTCTGCTTGCCATGTACCCGTGTAGCCAACCGATGGAGCCACCCTCTAACCGCGCAAAGTAACCTTGGCTGGTTGCCTACCGCAGGAATCCTGAACAATTTCTTGTTGATCTCCGAAAGTTGCACATTTTTTGGAACTCGCCACTAGATATTGCAAATGTTGAAGTTGGGAAATTGGGAAAGCCGACGCCTTCTGTGCCTCCAGTTCGAGTTGCCTGAATTTCTTGTTGCTGATCTCCGAAAGTTGCACATTTGTTGAAAAGCCCACCACTGGGTTGCCAAAATGTCGAAGGGGAACTCGGGAACACCGCCGCCCGCGTGGTAACTCGCCCACCTGTGCCCAACTGGGTATGGGCCAAAGTTAATCCACCAGGAATTGGACCGCAGGTTGAATCGTCCTTGGTTCCATTTACCAGGGTCCCATCTTGGGCACCAATTTTTGACCCACAGCCAACTCGAGGCGACTTCTGCGCGGTGACTTTGGAGGCCTTGGGCCCGCAGCTGCAGAAGGCCAACGACCGGCTTCAGCGCCTGGCCGCAGAGGCCACACGCTGAGAGACCGCATTTTTGAACCCCAGGATACCCGACTTCCATTGGCTGAATGAGAGTTGTTTTTTTCAATCAATGTTTTTTTCCACGGAATCTATCACTACCGAATTAGTGTTTCCAGGGGTAAGCAAATGGAAGCCTAAGGTTCCCTTGAATGTTCATTATGAAGGTTGCACGGGATGGAGCCATACATCACGACTGAAATGCCACTAATCCAGTTAAAACAGAAGCAACTGACAATGACATCACTGTGAGGATGGGGAAGGGCGTTTAACACAGTGCCAACGGTCCATCTTGGGCCTGAGAGGCAGCGGCAGAGTTGTCGAACCGAAACCTTCAATCTGTCGGCTTTTGTATGTTGCCGTTATTCACTTGGAGGTGAAACCTAAAGCAAAAGTCAAGGCCTTGAACCCCCCAAGTTTCTAACCAACTTGCACTCCAGGATGTGCGAGGCCTCTTCATGAAGTCGGCGCCGGAGGACTGGTCTCGGGATGAGGATATATGAATGAAATATCTAAAAATATGAAAAGTCTGAACAGTTTGGAAGTCACAGCAAATATGATCACAGGGGTGCCTCATGGCGTGTCTTTATCCGTGTATAATATATATATATATACATACTTGCTAATTATTTGTGTTGGTCAGCTAGGACACGTTTCTTTTTGTGTCAACCGATCGATGTGCACGTGAGACGGAGCATGGCTACTACCGGAGTTCGGCCAAAATGTGAAGCACACACGTGCAAGGAATGCAGACCCTTCCGACTTGTTGGCACTGATTGTCCACAAGCACGTAGCAAGCATGACTAAGAGTCCTATGAAATTGAACCAGAAAAGACTTGGTAGCTAGAGATGTTGAAACAATCTGGTGATTCTAGAGGCACCTGGGTTTCGTCATGCGCAGGCCACGTATTGTGAAGTTGCTGTCCGTCCGATCCCTTCGCTGTGTGTCATTCTGTATCTACGCTTCCATTCTTTTCAGAAAACCACAAAAGTCCAAGGGACAAGGGCCTGCTGAAGGACGGTTGACTGAGATGGAACATCAATCGCCAGACCATTTGGCTGTGGGTCAAAACCAACGGTACCATTTTGGGGTAGGTGAATTCACCACCCATTTTAGTCTATTTTAGTGGGGATTGAATCGGATGTTCACTGGGGGTACGGGGTTTTGACCCATGGCCATTTCATTGCACTTCAGACATCTTCAGCGCGTCGCAAATCATGCGCAGGAGGTGGAGAGTCCTTCTTCCTTCAGCAGCAGCCCAAAAAAGATGGACGAGGCCTGAACATGGACTTGGAGAACTTGGTGGCCCTCAGCCGTTTGGTTCCTTAGCTTTCTAGGCTTTTAGGGTATAGTGGTAGTTTCCATTTAACCCACCAAAAGTTAAACTTTTAGCAGGGGATCTGAGGGCAGCCAAGGGAACTGGTGGTTCTTTTGTTATCTTTTGTTCCTTTGCTAGCTGTTCCGTTTTTGGACACATAAACCAAATGGTGAAGGTTCCCCAGGTGCTCGTTTTTGGGTGCCGAAAACCAGAAGGTGAAACAGGGCGGGCCCAATTAAACATTCGCAAAGGCAAGCATGCTGGGAGAATTGTGTGTACGCTGTGTTCTGTGTTGGCAGATACGTTTCACACATGTATAAACTAATATATATATATATATGATAATACAACAATAGATGAGTATGCACTAAAATCATCGGTAGCGTTCCACTGTAATTATTCGAGGCTCCTTGGGGTGAGCAAATTCGACAATAGGCGACCAAAACCGATACCCCCTTTGAACCTCAAACCGCTGAACACCGATAGGGGACCGCCCAACTTCCCATGGCATTGAGTTTAGTAAAGTGTTTTTTGTTTGCTACTTACATATATATATATATGTATATAAATTATCCTGAGCTTGTCACACATTGGATTGCTGACTTTGCAAGCTTGCTTGTAGGAAGTGGGAGCCAACCGAAACATGGTCATGACCCGCGAACTTGGGAACAGTGGATTTGTTTGTTGTTGTTGCATCACGATTGCTGGTCTGGTATGTGGGCAGTAGTGTTTCCTCATTGGTGCAGGAAGCTTCAGGGGTGATATGAAAGAGTGCTGTGGACAATGGCTCAAAACAGGCGCGACCACACACATACAAACGGACAAACCCACAGCTTTGCAGATGCCAAAGCTAAGGAATACTTCAAGGAAGGAGCCAATCCCAGGAAAATGCTTTGCAACATCTGAGGGGTGAAGCTCCTGGATTGAACATCGAACATCAATTTCCTCAGACGATTCAATATTAAATGTTCATTTGTACGAGCTAAGGACGTAGGGAGAAAACTTGGTCAGACATTGGGAGACTGGACAAATGCATTGCTGCATGAGGCGTTGCCTGCTTTGTTTCGAGCAGAATAACGCTGGACTTTGTGTGTGCACGTTGTTGGTGGTGTGTGTGAATGCAAAGGCGTGCATGCGTGCTTCTGTCCGTGCGTGGGTTTGTGTGTGTGTATGCTTGTTCTGCGCGTGTGCGTGTGTGCGTGTGTGGAGGTGTGGGTGTCTGTGTGAGTGCGTGCGCGCGTGCGTGCGTGCGTGCGTGCGTGCGTGCGTGCGGGCGTGCGTGCGTGCGTGCGTGCGTGCGTGCGTGCGTGCGTGCGTGCGTGCGTGCGTGCGTGCGTGCGTGCGTGCGTGCGTGCGTGCGTGCGTGCGTGGGTGTGTGTGTGTGTGTGCGGAGTGACAGAATGCCCTGTCACCACCCTTTCGGTTTCTCAGCAGGGGGGTCACCCGCAGTCACGACCGGTGACCCAACGAAGAGGGTCGTGACCTGCGCTGATATCTGACCTGATCAGTCAGACGTACCTGCCGAGATGGTTGTGTTGTTCTGAATGTCCTTTTGGTCCCCCTGAACTGCCGTTGCTTCTGTGTGTCCCTGTTAAAGTAACTACAGGGAAGCCAAGCGTTATGCGAGTCGAACCTCATCATACTCGAGACTTATCAGTTGTACTCGAGACTCATCAGTTGTACTCGAAAGATTAGCACTCTCCATTGGAGTTTAAGTGTGTACACCCCATTCGTGGGGAATCCTCGGGTGTACCCATTGTGTGACCCCGGGCCGGCTCTGTCGGAAAATTTGACCTCAACGTGCTTATCATAGAACAGCGGAATTTCACATTTAACCAGGAACGAGGTTTCACTAAAGGGAAGACAGCGGTCAGATCATAGAGACGTCTCACCACTGATGTTTGCGTTTGCTTGCCATTTGTTGGATTCGTTGATACCTTGCCGTTGCATGGAGTTGCTTGTTGTCTGATACGTGTCTCTCAAGATGGAAGCGTGAAGATTGAGAGTCGATCGTGTACCCATGTCTCGACGTGATGATCGTGATAGATCCAGGACTCGGCGCAGACGTGATCGGAGTACTTCTCCTCAGGCTCGTAAAGCACACCGACGTGAACACAATGACCACCACGTCTCGGAAGGCATGGATTGGAACAACCTGGTGTCTTGGCAACACAATTCCGGCTACAACTCTGCCAACAATTTCCCGATGATGCCCACCAATTTTCAATCGACTCATAGTCCCACACAGCAATTCCAACATCCAGCAATCAACTACATGATGCCGATCCCTCCAGACCCCACGCCAACGAAGTTCATGCCACCCGTGATGCCACCACCGGTCACTACCCCGCAACCTACACCGCCACCTGGACCTCCTGCGGCTCTACCGGTTCGTCCTCAGAAAGCCTGGCTTACACCATCGCCTGACTGGACACCTGGAGAGGGCATGTTTGATGTCAATCAGCTCTACAACTTCAGCCTGCCCATGACCGTTGCCAACACTCCGCATGGCAACCTGCGCGACATGTCAGGCATGGATATTCGTGACGTTCGCCTGGTTCAGGTTATTCATGGGGGCCTCACCAACTGGCTGCTCCGACCGTTCGCTCACGGCAGATTCGTGACATGGGAAGGCTTTCGCACTCGCACCGAGGCCTTACTTTGGAGTACCTGTTCCAAACTACTACGACGATCACAGTCGATCAACCTGCTCACCCTGGAAAAGGACCTTGCCAACTCGCTGGGTCTCAACATCGATGACTTCAATCAGCGGATCAAGGTTCATGACCATTTGGCCAGCTTGGTACTTCAATTTCTTCAGCAACACCACGCCTCTCTCGCACCTTCCACCCAGACAGATGACATGGTCAAGAAGTACAATGATCTAAATCGTGCGCATGAGCTGCTCCAGGCTCAGTATTCAGCATCGCTGCGCGCTTCGACCTCTCCCACGATGGCAAGCCAGAAAGATGATGCAGAGTTGGTTACACCGCCACCGGTCAACCACACACAATCCTCGTCACCTGCCAGCTCCCTCCCTACAGCCAGCGCAGCGGCCCTTGATGGCAAGTCGTTTGATAGCGCGGTGCAACCCCGGATCATTCAGTCTCTTCACGGAGTGTCTTCACCGCCGTCCAAGCCGGCGGCGTCACAATTGCTCACCATGCACAGCACGCCGGAAGAAGTTGTCAAGTACTACACATGGACCAGTGACCAGCCACGCCTTTATCTCAAGCAATCGCCCACAACCACGACTTTGACGTCACTGGTCAAGTGGGCCAATCACCCGTCCCGGCTCAACGGCAACAAGTCATTAGATTCCATGGCGACGCAGCTCCTTCAAGCGCGTCAACGCATGCCGAAAGGCGACGCACCTACTCTCGGGGCGATGGCGGCTTCGTGGGGACTGGAGCCCGGCTATCTCACCAAGCTCACTGAGAAGGCATTGAGTCACCTCATCGTGACCGCTCGCCTACTCAGCGGATGAGCAGGCATCTTAACGACCTTCGTTCTCTTATGAGCCCGGAGCGGCAACCGTGTCACGGATGAGTCAAGGTTAAAACTCGTCCGTCATCTTTTGCGTTGCATCAGTTTGATCTTGTGCTTGGTTGTGCTTGCATTGCCTTGTGCGTGATTGTCTGTGCAGCTTGTATCCATGTCGCCGCCTTATGGTAGATTTCATTGGTTGCATTTTCACCATGTTGGATGAGCTTCGCCGCTGTGGAATCTATGATGATGTTGCACAATGGCAGTCTCTGGACAACTTTTTACACTCGTTGACCATGTTCTCTACGTGCTGGCAATACTGCTTCCCTGGACTACCACCACCGTCGATACCAGCTGATGAGTACGAATCAATCACACAACTACCGTGGTTGGGCCTCATTCTGGAAGTCTTAGTTGTGGTCCGGATTGCCCTTCAGATTCCGAATCACGCTATGTCACACTCTCAACACACTGTGGCCAACAGGTATGAGATTCATAGATGTCGGTGCACTGCCTATTTATTGATCAGTTTCTTACAACGTCTCATTTCCCAAGATCATGGCTACTTTCCGCCGTTCTTTGAAGTCCTTCACTTCTACAAGGCTTCTCTCTTGTGTGAAATCACCGACACACGACATCTTCGCTCATTGCGGGCACGATTTCCGGACCTCTATGACTTCATTCACGATCCAGGTCATCATCAACAACCGTGCGTCTACATCCGACTTTCCCCATGGCACACACCTTACTACGTTGGTGCGACTGATCAGGATATTCTACGACGTGAACACTCACGCAGTCGCAAATTTCTACAACTACTTCGGGGGCGTCATGCCTTCTTCGAACCCGCGCTTCACTACTGGAAGCGATCCAATACTTACTGGCTCTTCTGTGCTGTTCCGGTTGAGATCAAACTTCCCGTTTCCTCGGTTTGGGTCCAGGAAAGCAAATGGCAATACCTGCTACGCCCGCATTTGAATGCACCCTGGGTACACAGACTTCTGCGAAAGGTGGGCTTCCGGGAACACCTCGTTGATTTTCGACGTCACTCGTTGTCGTCTCCCACTTCCCTCGGCTTGCACAAACGCTTTCGACGACGACTACATCCGGATCTTCAACGGCAACTACGTCCCGACATGCTGGATGACATTCAGGCCCATTACTCTATTCTCTATCAGCTGGGATCCAATACAGGTGCATCGTTCCAAGCCATGCGTGACCTTCTGTCGGCAGCTTTCCCTCCTACTCAGCTTTACTACTTTCTGCGGCTCTCCGTCTTTGTCAACGAGCCCTTCCGCTCCAAGGCGCAGAAACTCCTCGCCCAGGTGTTACGCAAACGACAGCTACAATCACCCACCACTTTGACACAACTACTCCTACCGCCTCTACATGTCCGGAATTGGAAAGCTCTACTTGGCACATGGTTACAAAGCTGGATTGCTTCTCATCGTGATTTGTTTCCCTCCCTTTTC